CATTTTCACTGCGAAATTGATGTAAACTAATTTCCTACAAACGAATTTAAATTAATTTGGCCTCTTAAATTGATGTGAAGTAATTTTCCATCGTTTTTTGAGTCAGAAATTAATGTACATTAATTTAAAGTTATTTAAAAGTTCCAATGCGTTTATCCGTTGTCTGTTTCTAGCCACAAATAAGGACTCCACATATCTAAAAGAAAATATGGACTGATATTTTCTGGTTCGTTCATGCAGAATAGAGAAAAGAAGAAATTGACAAAGGTCGCTAGTTTATAGCATTCGTTTTCCGCATTTGAGTGACATAGCGTTTCTCTTATTTTAGAACTTAGCTATTTGTCATATATATTCAACATACCTTGCTTTTACAATTATTTCAGGGTTACTGATTTATGAAAAACTAAAGTCTGTCTACAAACGTGAGTCTTTTGAGTTCTTTGCTCATATGCATATAAATAATTACCTGAAACAGCTAAATTTTTATATAAATTACAATTATAAGTTGACCCGATATAATTTCTGTTGAGTCCAGTCTTGACAGAGAAATCTCAAAAATAATTGAGAAAAGGCACTACATATACAGGAATTAAACCTGAGATCGAGTAACCTCAGGTTCAATCTCTGTCTACTTAGTACCTTTTTTTCGCTTTGTCTTTATAACCACTAGGCCACGCGTCATTATGAAAAGTGTTCTCTTTTCATGTATAATCGTTAAAATATCTTTTACAGAAAATATTCGAATTTGAAAAAAACTAAAATTTAATTTTTCGATGAATCAAAAATTTTGAAACTTGAATTTCAATATTAATCAACAACTTGCATTACAGAGCTATATAAGAAAAGTCTTTTTTCAGTTTAAAAATAATTCAAGAGAACTGAACTGTGTCCAAACCCAATTTTTCGAAATCAGAAGAACAACAGAAGAGCATCAGACAGTTTTTTTCTTGAACTAGCAAAATCTTCACTTCCACAAACGCTCGAGACTTTTTTTCTACCAAGCAAATAAACAAAGATTTAACACAATAGAAACTATTTTACTAAACTATTTTGTTCAACATCACCAAAACGAACAAGTGTTGGAGAGGAAAAGAAAATTCGCTCTCTTAGTAGCGTTTCTTGGGCTAGGCAGAATTTCAGCGTGTTTTACCCGATTTTCACCGCGGGAACACGAAGCAATTCATCTCAAGCTCAGTTTAAGGTTAAGTTTAAAATAAGTACATATGGCAACCTTATTTACGCTTCTCAATTCTCTCTTTCAATTACTGTGTACTTATTCTGAAGTTATCATTTAATTCAACTTAATCAAGTTTTTGTAACTTATCACAGTTCACTCATACAGTTCACTAAAAAAGAAAAATATATTTTTTCTTTCTCCTTCTGATGTGAACATGTCTTTTGACTTATATATTTCGTGTACGTGTATATATGTACGTCCGTCACACTCACTGGTCACTATATGTACGTCCGTCACACTGCCACATGATCATATGTACGTACGTCCGTCACACTCACTGGTCACTATATGTATGTACGTCCGTCACATGCGGACGCCGACGCCGACATTTATTTCATATGACCCTAGACTTTCAGTCAAGGGAACTACTAAAACTAGACATGTTGCGTACATCATCATTTACATTATCCGTTTTTCGTTATCCGATGTTGCAGCAAATAATTCGTTTCTCATCCACAAATGCTACAGCGGGTTCGATCAATGCTGGCCACGACAAATTCACTGAACGTGAACAAGCATTAGAAAATCAATATTTTCGAAAACAAAGTGAAGAATTGATCACAAGTATCGTTCATCTTCGATTCACTGACCCTTGACTGAAAATGGGTTTTTAGCGATGATTTGGTGTTAGTATGCGCTTAGCTTTTAAAGGGATGGAGAAACAGGAAATTTTTGTTTATTTATGTGTATGATTGCATTAGATCCAATGACATATGACGTGTTGAAGGACATATTTCCTAGGATTTGATCGTTAACATTAGGAGGCGTT